TGATCCAGAGCCTGGTGACCCTGTATCTACTGATACGGGTCCTGTAAATAACATGGCTACATGCTATTAGATATTTGTAGTGAGTGAGTGAGCTGGGTTCTACGCCGCTTTTAGCAATATTCCAGCAATATCACGTAGAGGGACACCAGAAATAGGCTTCACACATTGTACCCATGTGGGAAATCAACGCTTTACGCTTTAACCACTATTTACCCATGTGGGGAATCGAACCCGGGTCTTCGGCATGACGAGCGAACGCTTTAACCACTGGGCTTCCCCACCGCCGATAGCTTTTTGTAAAAGTAATGGGTTTTATATCATCAATGGTAGAGCTGGGTCCGATAAATGTATCGGACATGTAACTTGTAAAGGGGTATTCCTAGTTGATCATGCTATTGCGTCTTATACTGTGTTCACCCTTATATCACACTTTTCTGTCCGGGAAATTGATGCACTATTTTCAGACGTGCACTCTGCGCTTGACCTGACCACACAACCTCCCCTGGCGCGCAGGCAGTGAGACAAACGCGTCACTACAACAGGGCCGAGGGCTTTGCAGCAGATATCAAAACGTGTGATACTGCAGTAAAGAAATATCAAGGCAAACAAGCAAATCCAGTAACGGTGGCAATAAACTGCGTTTTTATCGTATTTTCAGTCGTCTTTTACCACAGAAATCTTCGTAACAGACAAACTACCCAGGAGTGATAGAAAGGCTATCGGAAAGTTCCGACGTGGAGTTGCCCCACTACGGACTGAAACAGGGAGATATACCAACACCCCTATCATTGACAGGACATGTTTTCACTGCACAGACTCAGTTGAAGATGAAAGTGACGTATTATTACACTGCCCTTTATATACATCTTATCGGTTAGACCTTTTTGGACATTGTAATCATGTGTGCAATACTTTTAGCAATTTTACGGATGTACAGAAACTGGTAATTATTTTGTCATATCCCAATATTGTTCATTTTACTGCCAAAACGTGCAAATTGTTGCTTTAAAACGTAATCTTTTACTGTTTAACAAATGATTCTCCCCTTTTAAATATCTACCTGTTACCATATTGAGCCTTTATTTTCGCTGTTATTTGTATATATTATGTATTTTATGGTGTATAATTATGTTTGTTCTTAAAGGTTTACGATAGTGTCTCATAACCCTAAGCGGATGGACATTTATACATAATATGCAACATATGTTCGATAATCTTGACAAGAATGATCCAAAATCGATCTGGAAATTACAAAAGAGCGGTAACTCTGACGAAACAATACCGCCTGTTGATAAACTGTTTGGTTATTATAAAGCGTTGAATGACGAAACCAGCTTTGAAGAAGACGATAAATATATGAATGAAAAAATCTCGAAACATATCAATGACAATAAAGCTGTTTTCAATCAGCCTATTAGCAGTGATGAAGTCACAAATGCTATAAAACACCATTAAAGTAATAAAGCCGGTGGTGTCGATAATGTCATAAACGAGTACATTAAATGCACAACTGGCAAAATGATCCATTTATATGCAAAAAAATTCAATATCATTGGACTCCGAATGTTTCCCGGAAACTTGGCTAAGAGGAAATATAAGACCAATTTAAAAAAACAAATGCGATCTTTCAGACCCCAAAATTATAGACCAGTTACTTTTCTGTGCTGTATGAGCAAACTATTTATGTCAATAATTAATAACAGACTGACTTTTTAAAATCATCACATGTTCTATCTGAAATACAAACAGGTTTCAGAAAGGGATACTCGACAAATGATCACCTATTCTCACTTTATTGCATTATTAATTTATCAAAAATCAGAAAAAGAAATTATTCTGTGCATTTATAGACTTTGAAAAAGCTTTCGATAATGTACATGTTTGGAAACTCGGATTGTGGAATCAGCTTATTAATTATAATATCACTGGTAATGGGTTCGAAATAATACGGTCAATGTATAAAGGTATAAAATCGTGTGTTTCAACCAAATATCACTCATCTGAATATTTTGACTGTCTTAAAGGTGTCCAAGATATTTTTTATGGATTAAACTTCTTTTTTAATTTCTCTCACAACGTTTCGAGACCATTCCAGGTCCCTTCATCAGGTGAACTGATGGTTTGAAACAAAGGGTGCGATCTTTTTTAATTTCTCTCACAACGTTTCGAGACCATTCCAGAGACCTGAAATGGTCTCGAAACGTTGTGAGAGAAATTAAAAAAGAAGTTTAATCCATAAAAAATATCTTGGACATCAATGTACAACTTCTAAATGCCACTGAAAGACATCTGTCTTAAAGGTGTTAGACAGGGTGAGAATCTGTCGCCTCTACTCTTTGCGTTATTCCTTAATGATCTTGAACAATATTTTAATGCTTTCTCATGCAAAGGTGTTGTTTTGAATGATGATGTGTTATGTTGTCGATTTCAAACTAATTGTTGTCGATTTCAAACTAATTGTTGTTGATTTCAAACTAATTGTTGTTGATTTCAAACTGATTGTTTTGTATGATTTTTACACAATAAATATAATTGACATAACTGTTCGTCTTAACATGAAGGTGCTATTTCTGGTAGTCAGAAGTTTAGTGGTTGTAGCAGCAACTATGTGAGATTGAACCTGTATATTTGTTGTTTAAAGTGTCAGCGATGTCACAGCATTTTGACAGTGTTTGATTGACATCGGGTCGGCATTTCTGCTCAAAGCAAACGATTTCCGATCTTTATGATCTATATCAATAGCAAGCTCTAACGATTCCTGACGTACTGTATATTATAAGTCCGTTCTTAAACAAGTGTTTTGACAATAGCAATCTATATACATGTAGTCACTTTCTCATTTTGAACCCCTGCGTTCTTCAGTATTTTTTATTATTTTTTTCCTGTCATGTTGAAAAACTGTTCACTGGATGCTAAACAGTACTTTGATTACCTGTATATGTTTTACCGTTGTACACGTTTTCGCTTTTCTTCTGTCGTATATCAACTCACGGTGTTATTTCTTTTCCAGGTCAGTATAATCAGGTCATCAATTTAGTAATGGATTTAAATTTACAGGTAATGTGTTTAAGTTTTCAGCTACAGGTCCATTGAACACAGAATCTCAAATCTTCGTAGATCAAAACCCAATTGTGTAGATCGATGCTCATGATGTCAATCACTGTTTTATGTATGATTAGGGATATCCGCTGTCCTGCGCGTGTTGTTACCTTATAATCCAGGAAAAGAATGCACTAACGTTGCAGTATACATTTTGTGTTAAGAACAATTACAGCGGTTAATCCAGATTTATTGATTAACTTAAACACGTATTAAAAGTCTTTGTTTGAGAATTACATATTGCAGCTGAACAAGAAAGACTTGCTTAAAGCGACTTCATAAATCCGATTTCTAATAGGCAATTCATAAAATTAGACCAACACGTTAGAACTCTCTATCATCTGATATTTTCGTATTTGACTTTGGCATCGTCAGCGTACGCTGACCTTAACTCAAGTAAGATTATTTGGTTGAATGATGTGATGTCGTGTAAGGTGCAGCCTTGTTTGACAGACAACACGTGTAGAGTATAATAAATACTTGAATGATGTTATGTAGTGTCAGTTGCATCCTTTGTTTGACAGGCAACAAGTGTAGAGTATAAATATTTGAATGATGTTATGTAGTGTCAGTTGCACCCTTTGTTTGACAGGCAACAAGTGTAGAGTATAAATATTTGAATGATGTTATGTAGTGTCAGTTGCACCCTTTGTTTGACAGGCAACAAGTGTAGAGTATAAATATTTGAATGATGTTATGTAGTGTCAGTTGCACCCTTTGTTTGACAGGCAACAAGGGAAGAGTACACATATTTGAATGATGTTATGTAGTGTCAGTTTCACCCTTTTGTTTGACAGGCAACAAGTGCAGAGTATAAATACTTGAATGATGTTATGTAGTGTCAGTTGCACCCTTTGTTTGACAGGCAACAAGTGTAGAGTATAAATACTTGAATGATGTTATGTAGTGTCAGTTTCACCCTTTGTTTGACAGGCAACAAGGGAAGAGTATAAATATTTGAATGATGTTATGTAGTGTCAGTTGCACCCTTTGTTTGACAGGCAACAAGTGTAGAGTATAAATATTTGAATGATGTTATGTAGTGTCAGTTGCACCCTTTGTTTGACAGGCAACAAGTGTAGAGTATAAATATTTGAATGGTGTTATGTAGTGTCAGTTGCACCCTTTGTTTGACAGGCAACAAGGGAAGAGTATAAATATTTCAATGATGTTATGTAGTGTCAGTTGCCTCCTTTGTTTGACAGGCAACAAGTGTAGAGTATAAATATTTGAATGATGTTATGTAGTGTCAGTTGCACCCTTTGTTTGACAGGCAACAAGTGTAGAGTATAAATATTTGAATGATGTTATGTAGTGTCAGTTGCACCCTTTGTTTGACAGGCAACACGTGTAGAGTATAAATATTTGAATGATGTTATGTAGTGTCAGTTGCACCCTTTGTTTAACAGGCAACACGTGTAGAGTATAAATATTTGAATGATGTTATGTAGTGTCAGTTGCAGCCTTGTTTGACAGGCAACAAGTGTAGAGTATAAATATTTGAATGATGTTATGTAGTGTCAGTTGCACCCTTTGTTTGACAGGCAACAAGTGTAGAGTATAAATATTTGAATGATGTTATGTAGTGTCAGTTGCACCCTTTGTTTGACAGGCAACAAGGGAAGAGTATAAATATTTGAATGATGTTATGTAGTGTCAGTTTCACCCTTTGTTTGACAGGCAACAAGTGTAGATAATAAGTACTTGAATGATGTTATGTACTGTCAATTTCACCTTTTGTTTGACAGGCAACAAGTGTAGAGAATAAATACTTGAATGATGCTATAGCAAGTCACTTGCGTCCTTCTAGAGATAGACAACTAGTGTGGACTATTTGATACTGGATTAAAGCGATATTACGCATCCTTTTACAGCCTTTTTGAAAAGCTAAATACTTCCTCTTGAAAATTTGAAAGGTTTTTATTCAAGACAATATCAGACATACAAAACAGTAGGAAGATTCTTCAATTTTTAGAACTTAAGTTTTGATTATGTCTTATTAAAAGCGCACATCTATTGTTTCCAAGAATAATTAAATGTGAAAATGTACACGTGAAACCATAATAATGGCATTCTATACAAATATTTATTTCGATACGTCACTATGACTTTAACACAAAATAGCTTCGGTTTTCGGGACTCATTTGCGTCGATATCTGGATATATTCGAAACTTACATATCACAAGACTTCGAGTTAACCACGTTTCCTCGTGTGCGGATATATCCCATACTGCGCATCCACTCTACAGGAAGATGGACATGATTGCCAAGATAACTGCGATGGAAGCAAGGGTTGATTGTTTTGAGGCACCAGATGTCGGGTACGGTCCATAGCTAGGTCTAACTCTGCACTCGCATGAATCCAGCGCAGCAAAGAATTTAGTGTTTTCAACATTATCAACAAAGTTTCGCATTATGTCTCTGATATAACCCTCCACTTGTCCCGTAAAGCACGGGTGTTGCTTTACCTCGGCTACAGCAGCTGGACATTCCGCACGACATCCTCCATAGACATTACAGTTGTCCAAAACCTTGAACAGAAACGTCAAGAAAAAACCTTACACATAAATAATAACTGTTAAAAATAATAAAAATAATCACCTTATCTGCCCGGTGAAATACAATATAGATTTGACAGCTTCTTGTATATTGCATAGAGCCACGTTTCAGTGTAGATTCTTACACCGTTTTCAGGATAAAAGACATCTTGAAAACGGTGTAAGAATCTATATGAAATCAATAAACAAGAAGTTGTTAACCATAAAGTCGTTTGCTTTATTATTGACTCACAAGCTTCTAGAATGTCAAACACATAGTCGGAAACGATATATTAACCCTTAAAAAAGATGGCCATGGAATTATATCATGTCAAAGAATATAGTGTCATTTGATTTGGTTATAGCCAAACAAAGTTTAACATACCTTGCCAAATAATTGCTTTCTGATGGGATTTGATGCATTAAACAACATGAACAAGTTACAGCCATAGAGAGATCCAGTTTGATCGAAGTTACAGAGGTCCAGATCATTCCACGTAAAGCAGGACCCGCTCTGGAGGGCCTCTTCGGGGTAGTAGGTAAAAATCCCAAAACACATCTCATCGAACGTCCCCTCTCCAAACATGGCAGTTGTGCTTCTGGAGGTGGACCTGTACACGCAGGTGGTTTCTAGAACATCGCCCGCCAGAAGCTGCACGGGAGGGTTGTACCTAGGTTGAGAAAAATATTGTGACGGAGTGCTTATGACAATATTCCAGCAATATTACACCGGGGGACACGAGACACGGGCTTCACACATTGTAACCATGTGGGGAATCGAACCCGAGCTTTAACCACAAGAGCTACCCACCGCCTCCAGAAGCATTGAAAATTCGGATTTGAAATGTCACTCGTGACTTTGTTATTTTATGGTCTACTTGGCGCAGTATTAATTAATTAACTCGATTCACCAAACACTTAGAGGATACGAATTTCCTAGTTGACTTGAAGCTTCAGCAACCCAAGCTGGTCGTAAGAGGCGAAAATGGCATCGGGGTAGTAGTATCACTTACAGAACGCCGTCATATAGCTGAAATGTTGCTGAGTGCAGCTTAAACGAGAAACTGTAGTACTAGAAGTAGCGGCAGTAGCAGCAACAGTAGTAGTAGAAGTAGCGGCAGTAACAGTAGTAGTAGAAGTAGCGGCAGTAGCAGCAACAGTAGTAGCAGAAGAAGCGGCAGTAGCACCAACAGTAGTAGTAGAAGTAGCGGCAGTAGCAGTAGTAGAGGTAGCGGCAGTAGCAGCAACAGTAGTAGTAGAAGAAGCGGCAGTAGCAGCAACAGTAGTAGTAGAAGTAGCGGCAGTAGCAGTAGTAGAGGTAGCGGCAGTAGCAGCAACAGTAGTAGTAGAAGTAGCGGCAGTAGCAGCAACAGTAGTAGTAGTAGTAGCAACAGTAGTAAGAAGCGGCAGTAGTAGCAACAATGTAGTAGTAGAAGAAGCGGCGGTAGCAGCAACAGTAGTAGTAGAAGAAGCGGCAGTAGCAGCAACAGTAGTAGTAGAAAAAGTGGCAGTAGCAGCAACAGTAGTAGTAGAAGTGGCAGTAGCAGCAACAGTAGTAGTAGAAGCGGCAGTAGCAGCAACAGTAGTAGTAGAAGAAGCGGCAGTAGCAGCAACAGTAGTAGTAGAAGAAGCGGCAGTAGCAGCAACAGTAGTAGTAGAAGTAGCGGCAGTAGCAGCAACAGTAGTAGTAGTACAAGTAGTAGCAGTAGCAGCAGCAGTAGCAGCAGTAGTAAGTAGTACAGTGGCAGTAGCAGTAGTAGAAGTAGCGGCAAGTAGCAGCAACAGTAGTAGTAGAAGTAGCGACAGTAGCAACAACAGAAGTAAAGTAGAAATGCAGCAACAGTGAGTAGTGTGCAGAAGCAGCGGCAGTAGCAGCAAACAGTAGTAGTAGAAGTAGCAGCAGTGGCAGTGAAGTAGAGGTAGAGGACAGTAGCAGCAGTAGAGGTGCAGTGCAACAGTAGTAAGGTAGAAGTGGCAGCAGTGCGGCAACAGTAGTAGTAAGTGGGGCAGTGCCAACAGCAACAGTGGTGAGTAGAAATGTGGCAGTGGTAACAGCATAAGTGGCAGTGGCAGTAACAGTGGTAGTGGAAGTGGCAGCAATGGCAACAGTGAGTGAGTGGAATGGAAGAAGCTGGCTGTAACAGTGGTGAGTAGTAAGAAGTGGCAGTGGCAACAGTGAAGTGAGTGGCAGTGTGACAGTGGTAGTACCCAAGCAACAGTGGTGGTAAAAATGGCAGTGGCAGCAACAGTAGTAGTAGTAGAAGTAGCGGCAGTGGCAGCAACAGTAGTAAGGAAGCAGCGGACAGTGGCAACAACAGTGGTAGTAAGTAGTGACAGTAGCAGCAACAGTAGTGAGTAGCAGTAGTAACAACAGTGGTAGTGGCGACGGCAGTAGCAGCAACAGTGCAGTAGTGGAAGTGGCAGCAGTGGCAACAGTGTAGTGAGTGTGACAGTAGCAGGCAACAGTGGTGGTGAAGAAGCAGCAGCAGCAACAGTGGTGAGTAGAAGTGGCGGCAGTAGCAGCAACAGTGTGAGTGGGAAGTGGCAATGCTTGGCAACAGTGTGGAAGTGGTGAGTAGTGTGACAGTGGCAGCGAACAGCAAGAGTGGCAAGTGGTGATGGTGGCAGCAACAGTAGTGGTGGGAAGTGGTGACAGTAGCGATGTGTAGAAGAAGGGACAGTAGCAGCAGTGGTGGTGGTGGAAGAAGCGGCAGTGGCAGCAACAGTGATGGAATAGAAGTGGCAGCAGTGCAGCAACAGCAGTGTAGTGAAAGCAGCAGTGGCAGCAACAGTGAAGTGGAAGTGGCGACAGTGGCAGCAACAGAGTAGTGGAAGTAGCAACAGTAGCAGTGAGTGGAGAAGTGGCAGTAGCAGCAACAGTGTAGTGGAAATGTGGCAGTGGCTTGCAACAGAAGTGAAGTGGAAGTGGCAGCAACAACAGTAGTAGAAGTGGCGGTGGCAGTGAGCAACAGTAGCAGTAGTAGCAGAGCAAGCAATAGCAGTGGTAGAAGTAGCGGCAGTGGCAACAGTGAGGAAGTGGAAGTGGTGGACAGTGGCAGCAACGGAAATTAGCAGTGGCTTGGCAGTGGCAGTGGTGGAAAGTGGCAAGCAGGCACAACAGTGGTAGGGAAGTGGTGACAGTAGCAGTAACAGTAGTAGTAGAAGTGGCGACAGTAGCAGCAACAGCAGTAGTAGTAGAAGTAGCAGCAGTGGCAGCAACAGCAACAGTGAGGAGTAGAAGAGTGACAGTAGCAGCAGCAGTAGAAGTGGAAGTGGGAAGCAGCGGCAGTGAGTAGGAGTAGCAGTAGCAACAACAGCAGTGGAGTAGAAGTGTAGCGTGGTAGCAGTGAGTGAGTAGAGTAGTGGCAGTGGCAGCAACAAGAGTGAGCGGACAGTGGCAGCAACAGTGGTGAGTAGAAGTAGCGACAGTAGCAACAGTGGAGTAGAAGTAGCAGTGGCAGCAATTGCAGTGGTAGAAGTAGAGAGACAGTGGCAGCAGCAGTAGTGAGTAGCAGACAGTAGCAATGACAGTAAGTGAGTGGCTGCAGTGGCAGTGGTAGGTGGGGAAGAAGTGGCAGGCAGCAGTGGCAGCAATGGCAGTGAGTAGAAGGGGAGACAGTGCTTGGGAAATTGTGGCAACAGTGGAAGTAGTGAAGTAAATTAGAGCGTGAGTGGCAGTGGTGGTAGTGTGAAGCAGTGAGCAACAGTTAGCAACAGTGGTAGTGAAGTGGCAGTAGCAACAACAGTAGTAGTAGGGAAGTGGCTGCAGTAGCAGTGAAGTAGCAGTGGAGAGTAGCAACAGTAGCAGCAACAGCAAGTGAGTGGGAAGTGGAGACAGTAGCAGCAACAGTAGTAGTAGTGGAAGTGCAGCGACAGTAGCAACAGCAACGGTAGTGAGTGGGAAGTGGCGGCGGTGGCAGCAACAGTAGTGGTAGGAAGAAGCGGCAGTGGCAGCGGCAGTAGTGGTGGCGGCAGTAGCAGCAACAGTAGTAGTAGAAGTAGCGGCAGTAGCAGCAACAGTAGTAGTAGAAGTAGCGGCAGTAGCAGCGACATTAGTAGTAGAAGTAGAATCCCTGATTGGAGTGAGTGTGTCGAATAGAGGATGGGACGGCAAAACGTGTGATGATAAAACGTCGTGTAGACAAAACATGTGACGTATATCCCCGTCAAAAGAATATTGTATCTCAATCTGTCGTTTAGACTTTCTGGTAAGAAATTACAGCACAAGAAATACGTTACGTGTAAACTTTAGGGTTGTCATAACTGTAAACTTCGTCTGGAGTCAAATCTCGCAGTTTCTCGCCATTCCGGAAATGTTCCACGTTTTGTTGGAAACCTGAAAAGAGAGGTCATTATTTGTTTGGATCCCATTTTTGTGAGATTTAGATCTCTGCATTGTTGGGTGTCGCAATTCGTTGTACAGAACTGCATTTCAAGCTGACTTTGGGCTGGTTGGACAAGGTGACACTTTTCCCGAACACCTGGTGTCGTCACTGATTTTCATTAATCGATTCACATAAACGCACGCACGCACGCACGCACGCACGCACGCACGCACGCACGGTGGTTCTGCGACTGTTTTCAGACAAGTGACGTTTAGAGAACCTTTGTGATGCTTATATCAAATCCAAGTGTACATTTACTTTTGCTTGGCTGCATATACATGTACCTATCTGTTGGTGGAGACGTCTTTACCCATCAACTGGCAGCCAGTGATTCAGCCCCATTTTCACCACCGTGACACTCACTCACTTACTCAAACCACCCATCCACTCATATACTGGGTTGGTATTGGCTTTCAGTAACTCATGCTTGTCGTAAGAGGCGACTAACTGGATCGGGTGGTCAGGCTCGCGTACATCGATGGTCATGCTGTTGATAACTGGATTGTCTGGACCAGACTCGATTATTTACAGACCGACACCATATAGGTGAAATATTGCAGAGTGCGGCTTAAAACAACAAACCAACCACCAAATCACTCACATACCTACCCAAATAATGCATATGGTTCCACCCAGTCATTAGATTCACCGGCGCCTTAATTAGTTTCCTGGTGCACTCTGCAGTACATGTAGACTTCTTGACCACTCGCTGCTGGCCAGGCGGGATGACCAACTCTGTCTGGCCAGTGCTAAAATAGGCAGCGTTGTTCTTTCTCAGCTTCTTTGTCAGAAACAACGTAAGGCCTGAACTGTCCACGTAGTCGGTTCTTTTCTGTGGGTTTGTCCAGTGGAACTGTCAGCGTAAAGATTGCACTTAGTTAGTTGGGTTATACGTCGCAGTGCACGGGTTTTTTTTGTTCTAGCACGATTCGATGTTGGGGGAAGCCCCGAAGCAACACAAGACCTAGATGTTTACCGCTTTTCTGAAATCCACCAGCCATGGTATGATGCTGAAACACCTGACACTTACCAATATTTCTGCCATAATATAGCAGCCTGCGAATTGTTGAACAGTTTAGACTTTCAAGTGAACGAAAGCATGACCACCTATCTAAGCCATCGAGAACGAGGAAGAGAAACTTGCACGGAGCAAACAACTATGGGACAATGGAGATCTTTAAGTCATTGGAATACCAATCAGTACTGAAACAGTACGCCGCCGTCTTAACAGCGGGAACCTCCATTGCCGTAGACCTGACCGTGGACCTATCCTCACCCCTTGTCAT